CACCAATTTTCACCTTTAATATAAACTGAGTGTACCCATTTGACCTAGAGTGAGTCAGTTTTCTTGGCTATTTTCCATACATAAACACCCAGAGCAGCCTTGTTCCACTTTCTGCAGTGTCTAATCCCAAGTCCACCTGCCTTCTTAGGTCTACAACACCAATCCCAGGCAATTGGTGGAGTTGTAGAAAGAACAACATTACCACTCCACAAAAAAGCTCTGCAAAGCTGGTTAATCCTATCAATGACTGATTTGGGAAGTAAAACACATTGAGCCCAATAAGTATGCAGACTCATTCACACTGCATTAATAAGGGTGACCCTAGCTGCATATGAAAGATTCCTACTACTCCAGCAGTGTAATCTGACCAACATCTTATCAATCAACCTATCATAATCCACCATCTTCAAGTACTTAGCATTCAAAGGAATCCCCAAGTACCTAAAAGGCATTTCACCCTTCACAAACCCAGAATGGCACAGAATGCTATCTTGGACAGGTTGCTGAACATTGCCAAAATAAATTGTAGTTTTCTCAAGATTAGCCTGCAAACCAGATCTAGCTTCAAAGGTCTTAAGAGCCTTGATCAAGAGCTTGACAGAATCATTATTCCCATAAGAAAACAACATCAAATCATCTGCAAAAATCAAGTGATTTAAAGCAAGCTCCTTACACCTCTGATGATATTTAAATCTCTTTTTCTTCCCAACTTTCTTTAGCAACCTGGACAGATATTCCATCACAATAACAAATAAGAGAGGAGACATAGGATCATCTTTCCTTATTCCCTTTTTCCCCTTAAAAAATCCATAAGAACTACCATTAAGAAGTAAGGAAAAAGTAGGAGTAGTAACACATTGCATAACCCAACAGATGAACTGAGTGGGGAACTTCATAGCACTCATCATTCCCTGAATAAAATCCCAGCTTACAGAATCATAAGCATTCCTGAGCTCCACTTTAATGGTACACCTAGGGGGCTTCCTTTTATTATTATAAGCCTTCAGCATGTCTTGACAAATGAGGATATTATCCAGAATAGATCTTCCAGAGACAAAGGCCCCTTGACATTCATCAATTAAACCAGGTAACACCTCCTTTAATCTAGAACAGATCATTTTAGAAATGATCTTATACACCACATTACAGCAAGCTTATTTGCATGTTCAATCTTTGGAATCAAAGTCAAAGTGGTGGAATTAACCTGTTTAAGCCTCTTACCAGAGTTAAAGAAATCCTGAACAGCCTTGGTAACATCATTTCCAATAATATGCCAAGCAGCTTTAAAAAACTTGCTGGAAAAACCATCAGGTCCAGGAGCCTTATCATCATCAATACTCCATAAAGCAGACTTAACTTCACTCTCAGAAAAAGCTCTACATATAGCCAATCCTTGCTCACCAGATAAAATATTACCCTCAGTTATAACTACAGAATGAATGCTGCCCTGCATTGAAGCTTCAGTTCCAAGGAGCCCTTGGTAATACTCCAAGAAAGCATCACACACTTCCTTAGGGTCAGCAATCACCTCCCCCACATTGTTCACAATAGAATAGATGTTATTATGAAGTCTTCTCTTCCTAATAATAGCATGGAAGAAAGCAGAATTCATATCACCATCTTTAAGCCAATGAACCTTAGCCTTTTGCTTCAAAAAATTGTATCTATCCAGGTGAATTTTATCATATCTCACTCTAGCTTCCGTTTCTAATTCAATCAATCTCTCATTATCAGGCTCAACTTGGAGCTTCGATTGGATTTCCATCAAAGTCTTCTCAGCTACATCATCCTCAGTTTCAATACAAGAGAAATTCACCATTTTCAACACTTTTTTCATCTCTTTCAACTTCCTAACACACTGGAACATTAATGTACCATCAACATTAATCTCACAAGCCTCTTTAACAACTAAAAGAAACTCAGGAGAGTCTACCCAAATATTAAGAAACCTAAATGGTTTTTTAACTTGAGTTCCAGAATCAAACATGTTAATAACACAGGGCAATGATCCATTAATCCTTCGGGGAAAAAAGTAGCTTGCATGTCTGGAAATCTATCCATCCAATCACCATTAACATGATCCTATCAATTTTAGTACACAACCTATCACAGCCAGCCTGCTTATTACACCAAGTATAAAACATACCCTAAGCATCCCAATCAGAAAGATTGTTCTGCCTTAGGCAAGCTCTAAAGGGTTCCACTTCAGTAAAAGAAACGGGACTACCAACTCTATCATTAAGATTCAAGATGTTGTTAAAATCCCCACAAAGAATCCAAGAACTGGTCATACAAGCACCAATCTCAGTTATCTGCTCCCAAAGCTTATGCCTAGCAGCAGCCTCATTCAACCCATAAACCATTGTGTAGAAAAAACTATTGCCTATTCCCTTATGAAGAACCTGCAAATGAATTAACTGCTCTTCACATCTAACAATAGACACATCAAACACCTGAGACAGCCAAATAATCCAAATTCTACCCCCTTATGATGAGAGTAATTAGCACACACAGACCAGTCACTTCCTAATCTATTAAACACCACACCAAAATTCTCAGCCTTCACCTTAGTTCCAAGAAGTCCAAAAAGTCCAACTCCATGATGTCTAATGAACCATAAGACATCACCGAGCTTACTGGCCTTATTTAGACCTCTAATGTTCCAGAAACCAAGCTTATCCATGGAGAGAATAAGAGCACTCCCCCTCCTCCAATACACTGAATCTATTTCCACTACTACTGATCAAAATAACACCGGGTTTTATAACTTGAGGTTGCTGACTTCCATCATCTTTCTGCTGAGAACCATTCAAATTATCAATCCCACTTTTGAAATTATGAGAAACAGGCTTCTGAACTGGCTTCCAGACTTTCTGTGGCTTCTGTCTATCCTTGTTCTGAGCTTCCTCAGGCTACATCCTCACCTTATTCCTCACCTGCATTTTAAGATTAGGACATTGAGCATCAGTATGCCTAATCCCACCACACACCTTACAGATCACAGGCCTCCACTCATACTTCAGAGCTTGTTTTATTGTATTTCCAGATTCATCCAAAAACTCAATGCAATCTGGTAAATAAACATTAAACCTCACTTCTATCATAATCCTAGCATACTCCAATCTTTCCTTGGTGGCCGTTTCCTTATCAGTCTTGATAGGATTCCCTATCATAGAAGCCAATTTCATTAGAGTCTTTTGCCCCCAATATTTCAATTTCAACCCAGGTAATCTGACCTAGATAGGCACCAAAACCACAAGCTCAGCATCAAGGTCCATCCCAGCCACCCATTGTTTCACTATCACTGGTTTATTGTCAAACCAAACAGGTCCAGCTCCCAATACTCTATCCCTTGCCTCAATAGTCCGAAATCGAACCAAGAACACCCCATTTGACATTAAAGAGACCTTATCAATCCCATATCTTCCCCCACATCCTTCTAGAAAAACCATTCATAACAGAACGGTGGTTTATTACCAATTATATGGCAAACAATCGCCGAGTTCCAGAAATCAATCTCAGGTTGAACATCCTCAAGAGTAATTTGGACCTTGCCACCATTACCCCTATCACAGGAACCCCTGTCTAAGTTCTTACCTCCACCAGATAGGTCTACCCCCTCATCCCTAGTCCCACCAAACAAGCTCTCCCTCCAGTTCAATCGAGAAATATCAACAGAATTCGGGGAATGAACAGGGGAACACACTTCGGGGTTCTCAGAAATTAGGGAAAACGCATTCATAGTGCAATAAGAGTTTTTAACCATCAAAATAGGAGTTGGATTGTCCTTATTCAATACACTAACACAGCATTCATCAGTACGAAGCTCATCATTAATGGCAGATGCAGAGGAATGAATTACCTGGAGCCAATTGTTAAACTCCAGCTGATGCTCACCACGTTCCTCCTCCGTCATCTCCTTCACCTGCATGGTGTTCTCCATTACTTCATCAAGCCAGCTTTCAACCGAAACATCCTCAGTGGCGATGATCTGTTCTTTCCTCTTCGTATAATTCCTTGTTTTGGGACCAGAATTCTGCTTTGCTTTCTGCTTTTTCTTCGATTTGGAGTTTGAACTCTTGCTTCCCTTACCCTTCTTCCTTTTTTCCATTGAAATCGGGCTGAAAATCGAAGATCAAATTTGTGGGTTTCAATCGGATTTTCCACTTTCTCTCTCTAGTTCTTAAGACTTTCTCTCTCTATTCATTATAGTTTCAAAAGCTCTTATAGTTGTCGGCTTTCCTCAAGCATGTAAAGCGTTATCGGTGGATTTTTCTTCAAGTATAGAAAACTGCCAATTCGGCTTTCCTCAAGCATGGAAAGCGTTATCAGTGGATTTTTCTTTAAGTATAGAAAACTACCAAGTCGGCTTTCCTCAAGCATGGAAAGCGTTATCGGTGGATTTCTTCAAGCATAGAATGACACCAAATTCATACGTTGACTTTCCTCAGGCATGGAAAGTGTCATCCGGTAGGTTTCTTCAGGATTAGAAAGCTACCAAATTCCTCAGTCGGCTTTCCTCAGGCATGGAAAACGTTTCAACAAATGTCATCCGGTGGATTCCTTCAAGCATAGGAAGATGCCAAACTCATTTGTCACCGATACACTGGTGCCACATACGTATTCTATCATTTTACTCTTTTATCTGTGGAATTAACATGCCCTTTCCAAGAATATCTCGCGGGCGCGAAAAAATGGGTACAGAACCCATAACTAACTCCGTGGGAAATCAGGGCAACACCCGCATCCGTGGATACTATAGCCCTCGCCCGCGTAGAAGACCCCCGCGCCCGCGGCTAAGGGCGCGGAAAATGCCCTGCTCCCAAGTGAAATTAGGGGCTCGCGGTCTCTCTAATAGGAGTGGTCACTCCAAAACCTCCGAGCCCGCGGCTAGACTGCGGCCAGGGCGCAGAGAGTTCCTGCCAAAATTCTCCATTTTCTTGCACTTTATCCTCGCCCGCGACATTTGGAAAAGGTTGTGTGCCCTCTTCGTGCCCTCTTCAAGCCCTCTCTAAGGAGCTTGCTTCTTCTTTGCTTAGCCCTTTTTGCTCTTCTTGATCCCTTTGCAAAGCCAACTCCTTAAGCACCTACAAAAGTAAACAAAAAGAGAAAATAGAAGAGAAAAAGAGCCATATAAAAGGGAAACACAAACAAAACCACATAAAGGAAAATAAAACACGAAGAAAGACCAAAATAATAAAAGAAAGCCATGAATATAGGGTGAAAACATCCTAGAAGACTACCCAATGAGTGCCATAAATTACAATCATCACTTACGGTGGAGAAGGAGTACCAAAATTAAGGCCTGGGCCTTGCTTAGAAAGATGAGGAGATCCTATAGGCTCATTCTGAGAGAGATGCAATGGCTGGTGAGGTGACTCCTCTAAGAGAGAAGGCGGATGTCCTGCAGCTCCAACTGGGAGAATTCCAACTCACCAAGACCAAGTTTGCAGACTACGAGGAACTGTTGGGGATTTCTTAGGCCAAAGTACAAGCATTAGAGCCTGAGATGGCCGATCTGTGGGCTGGGCAAGTGATGAATGAGCTCGAGGCTGCTAAAAATGAGGCACCTAGGTCTTTTTTGCTTTCTCCATCTTTTTCCAAGCTACTCGCAGATCGCCAGGAGGTTAGGAGGCCGCAACCCACTGCGTGAGTGGTCTTTATGGTGAAGGCAGGAGCAACAGGCTCGTTTTGATGCCTTCTGGGCGAGAGTTGAGGCAGTTAGGGAAGCTGGCCTATTTGATTTGCCTGCTGCCCATCCTCGCGTTGTAACTACTAAGACCCTAACCATGATATGTTGAATTTAGAGGTGCCCTTGTGTCCTGATGTTGTTGCGACCATTAGGGTGGAGACCTTGGCTGATGGGCAATAGAGGTTTAGGGGGCTGTCCCCCTCCTATTCTAGCGGTTCATCTAAGTTCCCTTCACCTATGTCTATGGTCACTGGGTGTAGGGAACAAATTTCAAGCATTAACCCCTTAGCTTGAACCCCACTGTGATCATACACTAAAGTACGGTGGCGTCCAAAAGGGAAAAAGATAGAGCAAAAGAGTCGCCAACAAGTTTTAGGAACTTGTAAACCGTTCACGAGGTGAAGGTTACACCCCTTAACGATCAAAGAGATCGTCAACTCCATAAGGTCCTGAACCAAATAAGGGTTCGGGGATGAAGGTACAAATCCAACCTAAAAGAGATTAAACCTGCCCTAATAATAGGCCTCTACTTTATTCTGATCGTATTCATGTGCGCTTTTTAATTAACATACAATCAATAGGATTAACCCTAAACCTGTTTATCTATGTTGGTTAAATATTAATGCACAAATAAACTATTATTGGCGATCACTTGAAATTATAATCGAATTAACCCTAACAAGATTATTAATTATCTTATTAAGCGTGATTACAAGTACCAATTCCCTTTAAACATGCATAAAAGGCGTGATCAAGCAATAACAATAAAATATCATCAAGCAACAAAATAATCATAATAAATTATAATCATCATTATAATAGTCATAATAATAATCATAATATCATCATAGATAAAATAATCATCATCAAAATAATAATAATAATAATAATATTCATAATCATCATAAATTATAACAATTATAATCATAACCATGTGCATGTTAATATTAAAGCATAATAATAGCAAGATCCTAGGCATGATACTAACAAGATTAATAACAGACCCTAGCATGTCACTAAGCAATAAAAATCAAAGCTTTAACCCTAACATGATACTAACAATCATAAATATTAGGAAGAACATAGGAAGCATCACAGGAATCATATTTAATATATTTGATATTGTTAGATAATATGAAACTCCTCAGATTGGAGTCGATTCCATTGGTCTCAATATATAGGGTTACAAGAGTGAGTCCTAATCACGTTAGGAAATCTCAAAAGATAATTACACAAAATATACAAAATATATCCAACGATAACAGAATATCTAGAATACTAATCCTATATTCTATCACACCCCCGCAGTCGTAGCGGGAGGAGGACGTACGCTGAGACTGGACCTGAAATCCATAAATAGTTGTCTGGGTAGGCCTTTCGTGAAAATGTCTGCAAACTGATACCGAGAAGGAACATGTAATACCCGTACATGCCCCAACGCCACCTTTTCTCGAACAAAATGAATGTCCATTTCGACGTGCTTGGTGTTGTATGGGGTTGTGAGATAAATAGATTGCACTGACATTATCACAATAAACAAGAGTAGCCTGCCGTAGAGGACAATGTAGCTCTAAAAGAAGGTTGCGGAGCCAACATGCCTCTGAAACAACATTCGCGACGCTCCTGTATTCTGCCTCTGCACTTGATTTGGAGAGAGTATGCTGACGCTTAGATGACCAAGAAATAAGATTGTCACCCAAAAAGCAACAGTAACCGGAAGTGGACCGACGAGTGTCTGGACACCCGCCCCAATCTGCGTCAGTATATGTAATCAAGTTTTTAGGAGCCGAAGGATATAAATGTAACCCATGATCAATGGTACCCTGAATGTATCGCAGAATTCGCTTCAATGCATCATAATGAGCCACTCTGGGATCATGCATGAATAAACAGACATGCTGAACTGCATACGCTATATGAGGGCGAGTAAAAGTGAGGTACTGTAAGGCACCTACAAGACAGCGATAGTGTGTTGGATCATGAAACTGAGGTCCGGCATCTACACTGAGTTTGGATTGAGTATCCACTGGAGTCTGCGCAGGTTTACAACTGCTCATACCTGCACGTTTAAGAATTTCCTGTGCATACTTTTGCTGTGAGAGAAACAGATATGAAGGTGTACGTGTAACAACAATGCCCAAAAAATAATTCAATGGACCTAAGTCAGTCATCGGAAACCCGTTCCGTAAGTGAGAAATAATCTTCTCACGCAGTTTATCTGAGGAGGTAACAAACACAATATCGTCAACATATAGCAACAAATATGTCATATCATTCCCATGCCGGAAGATAAATAAAGAATTATCCATTTTAGCAATGACAAACCCCATCTGCAAAAGATAGTTAGCAAAACGCTGGTACCAAGCCCTTGGAGCTTGTTTGAGGCCATATAGAGCCTTGCGAAGTTTGCAAACATAGCCTGGAAATCTCTTATCAACAAACCCAGGGGGTTGATGCATATAAACACACTCATTCAATTCACCATGCAAAAAAGCATTTTTCACATCAAGTTGGTGAATAGACCACTTACGAGCCATAGCCAAACTCAACACTGTTCGAATAGTGGCCGGCTTAACAACCGGAATAAACGTTTCATCACAGTCAACACCTTCAATCTGAGACCTTCCATCACAAACTAAACGAGCTTTGTGTCTATCAAGATCACCATTAGCTTTTAATTTATGACGAAAACAATTAACAATGTTCACCCCTGTAGGCCTTGGAACCAAATCCCATGTCCCCGTTTCAATTAAAGCACTATATTCATCACGCATCGCAGCATTCCAATTTGGGTCGGAAAGGGCTTGTTTGTGATTTTTGGGAAGTGGGGATCGAATGGTGGTAGATAAGCCATATTTAGGATTGGGTTTAATTATTCCGTGCTTAGACCTTGTTTGCATTTGAGGTGAAAGAGGCGGAGGAGTAGTCGGAATAATCAGTTTGTGGCCTCGAAGAGGTGGGGGTGTGTATGTGGGTGTTGGAGTGATTGGGTCAGTGGGTAAAATAGAAGTGTTGGGCTGATGTGAGTGAGGTGGGCTAGGAGGTGAGGAGGGGTCATTAATGGGCTGCTGGAATTCCAGCGGGTGCTGGCTGACTGGGCTTGCCCAGTTGGGTTGCTGGCTGACTTGCTGGATTGTGAAGGGGAGGCAGAGTGGATCGTAGCCCACTTGCCGTATATGGGGTTGTGCCGCAGCCCATTTGCAATGTGGGTTGTGTACGGCTTGCCGTGGGAAAGAGACAAAGAGAAAGAAAAAGAGATGAAATAATCAAGAAAACTTGATGAGAATTGGTGAATAATTAAGAGAGAGTTAGAGAATTAATGATTGTGAATGAAAACTGATTGTAGGTGAATGCTAATTAAAATATCAAGATAATGGTGAGAATTGGTTAATGAAAACAGAGTTTTTAATACGTAATTATAGAGAAATTAGCCAAAAAGATAAAATATCAAAACAGAGCACTTCGCGCACGCAAAACAGAGCTGGCGCCAGCACCAGCTTATTGGCGCCAGGCGCCAATGGCTAACACCAGGCGCCAATGGCTGGCGCCAATGGCTGGCGCCAATGGCTGGCGCCAGGCCTGGTTCCAGGCGCCAATGCCTGGAGTCAGGCGCCAGGCCTGTTTTTGACGCGTTTTCGAAAATCAAATAAGTTTGCCGTATTAGAGGATAAAATCGTATATTTTCCTCGAAAATGCTTTTTGATTTTAATTAAAACTTTGAAAAGTCAACAAAAATCAATTTATCAATGCTAATTGAATTAGGAATGAAAAGAACCTTCTAGAAGAATCTAGAAGACTAAAACAATTCCTAATTTCATTAGGAATTATAAATCATATTAGGCCCTCCTCTAGATCATTGGGCCGTATATAAGGCTCAAAACGGGCCCAATTTAGTAAATTGGCCATAACTTCCTCAATATTCATCGAAATTGGGCTTATAATATATCGTTGGAAAGCTCTTGTCAAGCCCCATCCAACTACACTAATATTGGACCCATATCATGGATCAACCAAACTGGATTAGCTGTTTTCTTTAAATAAGTTTTCAAAAACAAAGAGAAGAAAAAAGAAATTAAAACTATCCGCAACACTAGACTTTCCACACTTTCGCTTCATTCGATTACGATTCGACGTGAAAGGTACTCATCACTGGGTTTGGATTTGGGGAGATACATTTGGGTGTCTACACCGGGTAGCTTTTATTATTATCTTTGGGGTGTATAGCCGCCAAAGATTATTGCTTTCTTTCAACACTTTATCTTTTACTGCTAGGCCTGTCCAGCTTGACTTGAACTTTGTATTTCTTCAACTAACTTGCTGAATGTTTCCTCATCCACTAGGATGAGGGTTTAGCTTCTGTGGGGAATATTTCAAGCATCCCACACTTGAGCCTCACTGTGATCACACTCTTAAGCATGGTGGCGTCTAAAGGGAAGGGAGCTAGAGTAAAAGAGTCGCCAACAAGTTTTAGGAACTTGTAAACTGTTCACAGGGTTAAGGTTACACCCCTTCACAATCCATGAGATCGCTAACTCCAATAGGTTTGAAATCGTGACTGGAAGTTTGGGGATGAAGGTACAAATCCAACCTAAAAGAGATTGAACCTGCCCTAATAATAGGCCTCTACTTTATTCTTCTCATATTCATGTGCACTCTCTGACTAACATACAATCAATAGGTTAACCCTAAACCTGTTCAATCTATGTTGGTTGAATATTAATGCAAAAATAAATCTATTATTGGTGATCACTTGAATTATAATCATATTAACCTAAAAAAGATTATTAATTATCTTATTAAGCGTGATTACAAGTAAAAATTCCCTTTAATCATGCATAAAAGGCGTGATCAAGCAATAACAAAAATATATATCAAGCCACAATAATAATATTGATAACAATCATCATCATCATAACAATGATTTCAATCTCATGAAAGCATAATAAATTTAGCAACATCCTAGGCATGATACTAACAAGATTATTAACAAATTCTAGCATGTCACTAAACAATACAGATAAGGAAAAATGGAAAAGAAAAATACAACCTTTGCACTTTTTTCTCCTAAAAATCCAACCTTTATTTTATTCCTCAAAAATCCAACCTTTAATTAAACCTCACCTTCTCCAACAGATCCATTACCTGTTGATGACCGGTTTTTATAAGTGATAAGCCTTCTTATCATGGGTTGAGAGAAGCATTTTAGGGTGTGTTTTGATGCTTTATATGTACTTTTGTTAGCTTTTGTGAGTTTTGGGCTGTGATCTCACTTATGTGCAAAAGGCGGGATTTATGAGTATAAGTGAGTGAGTGAGCTCGGGAACCAATGAAGAGTTATGTAAGAAGGATGGACCTTGGCTCGTGATTTGAGAGTTGTGATGGAGCATGGAAGAGCAAGGAAGAAAGCTTGAGGAAAAGGTGAAGCAAAGCAAGAAGAAGAAGCAAGGAAAGAAGGCGAAAACAGCAGGAACCGCTGCCAGGGCCGCTGGCAGCTGGCCAGAGCCGCTGGCAGCGGGTATACCAGAGTGAGGGGCTGCCAGAGCAGCTGCCAGCGGGTCCAGAGCAGCTGGCAGCGGCTCTGGCAGAAATTCGGGCTGTTTTGGTTAATTTTCAGCAATTTGGCTTTGTTTTGGCTCGTGTTTTGGATATTATTTTATTATTATTATTTTGTTATGTTATTAAAATATAGAAACATATAAATAGCTTAGTTTTAATTAAGTTTAAAGTTAGAGAAGGAGAATTAAGTCTTGAGAAAAAAAAGCTTTCTAGGGTTTTCTTGGAATTTTCAGAATTCTTTGTTTTGGAATTAGAATCCATGGAAGCTTAATCTTCCGGATTCTTGGTTAAAGATTGAAGCTTTTAGCTACGAATTGTGAGATCTTTCTTCTCTTAATATCTATTGAATATATATTGTTCCTTGAATTAATTTCATGATTTGCTTTAATCAATTGCTAGGTTAGAATTATTGGATTCGCTTGCATCTAATTAATCTTTCCAAAGTAGCAACTTTAGGTTATTGATGCATGCTTTTGGTTGATAACTTGAAGAGGGAATAATATTATTGAAGAAATTAGACCGCTTGTGTTAATTTATTCAATCCTTGTTGATTTCTCCGTTTATTTTCTTCTTGTGGATAATTTAGAGCGCTTGTCTTGAATTGTGCATTGGAAAGGGTTAGAAAGGAGCGCTTTGCTATTTCTAACTATTTATGAGAATTTAGAATCTAGGAATTCTACAACAAGGTGTTCAATAGAGCTTGATTGAGGAGACTTCTATGATCAATTTGTATGTTCATTAGTGGATTTCGCATAACCAAGACCGTTCTTCTCATTGATTACCTATTCATTACGTTCGTTGTTCTTACTTAGTTCATTTATCATCATTGCTCGTGAAAACCCCCCTCGTTACTTAGGTTACTACCGTCCTAGAGTATTTCCACTTAGGTTTCCAGTTATTAGTCCCTTTTTCCCTGTGGATTCGAACTCGACTTCCCTAACTACGTTTATTTGCAGTTAGCTTAGTTGTGATATTTTTGGTTGCATACGACTGAGGCACACCAAATTTTGGCGCCGTTGCCGGGGACTTAGGCGTTACCGTTTAATTGTTTATCTTAGTAGAATTTATTTTAGGATTGTTCTTAGCTATTTTTTTCTTTGTTTGTTCGCTAGGGTATGATAAGTACCCGTTCTGCTAACAAAGAAGTTTTGCAGTTTGATCCAGAAATTGAAAGAAATATTTCCAGGTTGCGAAGAGAGGCAAGAACAAACCCCAGTGAATCAACATACATCTTCAACATTCAAGAAGAGGAAGTGATGGCAGAAAATCGAACACTGAGAGAGCTAACAGCTCCTAACTTGAACCAACAGCCGTTGTGCATCGCATATCAGCAGTTGGAGGAAGGTGCTAATGTTGAGATCAAATCTGGTCTAATTCATCTATTGCCGGCATTCCATGGCATGAAGGGTGAAGATCCAAATAAACATCTGGCAGAATTTCATGTGGTATGTACTAGCATGAAACCGATTGGGATGACTGATGAGCAAATTCAGTTGAGAGCATTTCCTTTTTCTCTCAAAGATGCAGCGAAGGATTGGTTTTACTATCTTCCTCCAGGGAGCATAACAAATTGGGCAGGTTTGAAGAAGTGTTTCTTAGAGAAGTATTACCCAGCCACTATTTCTGCAAGCCTTAAGAAAGCTATCAGCAATGTGGATCAGAAGGAAGATGAGTCCTTGTATGAGTATTGGGAGAGATTCAAGAGATTGTGTGCTAGTTGTCCGTACCATGGGTATTCCGATCAAGACCTCATCCTATACTTCTATGGAGGTCTAACAGATGATGATTTGAGGATGGTGAATGCAGCAAGTGGTGGAGGGCTAGTGAATAAGACTCCAGGAGATGCAACTAGGCTGATTGCAGAGCTAGCAGAGAATTCTAGGCAGTTCAGTCAGAGAACTCCCACGCGCCGGGTGAATGCAGCAAATTCAAATACAACTGAGTTAGAGAGTCAAGTAGCTGATTTGACTTCTATGATGCGTGAGTTCATGGTGAACTCAAGGAATCCACAGCAACTGAATGCTTGTGGTTTATGCACCTCCACAGGACATCCCACTGATGCATGTCCTCAATTACAAGAGGAACAGAATGAGCAGGCCAATGCAATGGGTTTCCAAGGGCAAGGTCCTCAGAGAAGATATGATCCATATTCGAATACATACAATCCAGGATGGAGGGATCATCCAAATTTGAGATATGGGAATTCCCAGGGGAACCA